GAATAACAACTCCAGGCATCAGAACATGCTGGGGGTGGCATGGCTTGAAAGCAGCTTTGAAAAAAAGAGCCTGGGCATCCTTGTAGACACCAAGTTGAACATGAGTCAGAAATGTGCCCTTGCTGCTATGAAGGCTATGTTATTCTTGGCTGAGTTAGGTAAATTGTTGCCAGCTGGTCAAAGAAAGTGAACCTTCCATTCTACTCAACATTTGTTGAGTACCATGTCAAGTTCTGACTCCCTAGTATATAACCTGGATATGCTGGAAAAAGTCCAATGTAGGGCCACCAAGATGATGAAACTATTCCACCCAGAGAAGGAGAGGCTTAATGTTTCTAAGTACCTGAAGGGAGAATGTAAAGAGAGTGAAGTCAGGCTATTTTCAGAGGTGCCCAGCAGAAAAATAAGAGGCAATGGGCACATACTGGAATATAGGAGGTACCCTTTTAACATTAGGAAACACTTCTGTGCTGTCCAGGTGATGGAGCACTGGCAAAAGTTGCCCAGACCTGTTGTGGAGTCTCCTCCTTATAGATCTTCAGAAGCCACCTGATCATGGCCCAGAGCAACTTGTTTTGAGTGATCCTACTTGAGCAGGTGTTGGATCAGATGGTCTCCAGAGGTCCCAGCAAACCTCAGACATCCTTTGATTCTTTAAAACAGTGTTAAGCTCGTTTCCCTCTCTTTGTCTGCCTTCCATCTTATTGTTTTATGCATTTTGATTTCTTCTTAGGAGGAATTTTTCAATGTGCCATTCACCCCCTGGTGCTTTTTTATACGCACAAAAATACATTACAAGAACATTAAAGATGTGCCAAAGACTAAAGATTGTCAGCACTAACACTGCTTGTACAGTTTTAATTTGGTCTCTTGTGTATATGATGCAGCTGTTAATATTTTCCACAGAACCTCTGTCTCACTCAACTTACAAGATGGACAGTGCTTATCGAACAAGCAATTATACAATATCTCATTTGTCCTCATTTAAGGCATATAATTAAACTGTTTTTTTATGCAAAAATATTCCTTTTCCCATGGGCATTTCTAGAATACTCATTACTAAAGTGATTCTTTTGTACAGACATGCACAGGCTTAGTGTTTGTAAGACAAAAGGAAATACATTATTGGGATTTTTCCATAGAGTAATGAAGATTTAAGGAATCAAATCTCTTAAAAAATAGGTTCAGCTATTTCCTAGATGACAAAATGAATCTCTATTGCAAGGGTCCTCAAATTGCCATCTTCAGATGGATCTGATGAGAAACATTGAATGGTTCTTCCAGTAAATTCTTATATACAATGTGACAGCTCAAACACATGTATGACTACTGCTATTGATTATCTTGAAGAACATACAGAATATCTCCATCCTATGTGACCATTGCTGCAGCCAGAGGAATTGTTTCTCCTGATCATCTTCAAATAACTCATCTATTTTTGAGTCTAACTTCAGATAATTATGTATTAGGAACTTCCTGAGTAGTCTTAGTGATGAGCAGACATTTTATCCAGAGTAGTCATCTTTACCACTGAAGCACAGAACTTGTGTGCACAGATTGGATTTAGACACAGTAAGAGCAGCTTGGTGAGAATATTAGGGGCTGTCCAAAATTCCCATCTCAAATGCTTAATTGTGAAGACACAGTTCAGCCAGTCCAGTTCCTTACAGTTATTATCTTATGTATCTCATGTACATCTGAAGTCTCATAGCACTTGTTATAACACAGAAACTTTAAATGCATTTATTCCATATAAGAATGGAGGTATGTTTAGTTTTGTGAGGTTTGTCCTTATTCCTGCTGCTCCAGCTTTTGCTGTATATCCTTGTTCCACGCAGTTCCTAATTCACAAAATTTTCTTAAAGGCTCTCTTGCTCTCATCCTCTTCTCTTTAATTTGTCCCAGTCTTGGTGTCTAAGATATTCACACATGCTTGTATCATCATTCCAATCATTCTAAAACGCTATTCCATTCTTTTTCTCAAGAATCTTCATTGCAACCCCCTAACTTCCTTTTGTTCCCCAGATTCACTGTCCAAATCCCCCATGTTTACACAGTTCACCTGAGAGGCAGTATCTGCAACTACCTTTGTCCATCAGGGCCACATATTCTAAATTTTATCTAGCTCTTCATTGGATTTTGGTCTTTTGTCTCCCGATTACATTTCTTATTTTCATCCCTCACATTTAGTCTCTTTGTCTTTGAATCTCAAGCTCCCTACATGGATCACCATTTCCAAGCTCCTTTTATGCCTCTTCTATCTCAGACATTTACACCCATTTTTTTTTTTTTTTTTATTTAAGTCAAAACCAGATTAAAGTGGGCAGCAGCAGGTGGAGGAGAGGCCCTTGCCCTCCCAGGAGACATGAGTAACAGCTATAGGAAGGTCGAACTCAGCCCACACAGCTGTGGCACAAGCATACCCAGATGGAAGCTGCAGCATCAATATCCAATTGCCAAGAATATTAAAGATTATTCAAAGGCTTTTAAATTTCCCAAATTTGGGCAGTTTCTCTCAGAGACAGTAAAAGGTTCATTCTTGACAAAAGCACTGCACTTAACCACCTTTTCAGACAAAACTCAGGTCACATTATTAAAAAGCTATGCAAGCTCTTTATCTTAGGTAAAAACTCCCCCTTCTGCCCTTTCTTCCATTTGCAGAATTTGCAAAAAACATGAACTAATGTTAAAATTTTATAAACAAAGGCTAACATTCTGGCTCCAGTAGCTGGGGAGGGAAAGTTCAATCTTCACATTTAATTGCAGCAAATTTATAAGAAAATGAAAATGGAGATTTGAAATAGGAATGTGTGCTATGGGCAGTCCTTCAGATCACAGAATCACAGAATCACAGAATCACCCGGGTTGGAAGGGACCTCAAGGATCATGTAGTTCCAACCCCCCTGCCTAGCAGGGCCACCAAACGTACACATTCAGATCAGGTTGCCCAGGACCCCGTCCAACCTGGCCTTGAACACGTCCAAGGACGGGGCATCCACAACCTCCCTGGGCAGCCTGTTCCAGGGCCTAACCACTCTCCTTGTAAAGAACTTCCCCCTAACATCCAACCTAAATCTTCCCTCCTTCAACTTGGATCCATTTCCCCTAGTCCTGCTGTTGTCAGCCCTTCTGAAGAGTTTACTCCCCTCCTGGGTATAGGTTCCCTTCAGGTATTGATAGGCTGCAATGAGGTCACCCCGCAGCCTTCTCTTCTCCAGGCTGAACAAGCTCAGCTCCCTCAGCCTGTCCTCGTAGGGGAGGTGCTCCAGCCCCCTGATCATCTTAGTCGCCCTCCTCTGGACCCTTTCCAAGATCTCTATGTCTTTCTTGTACTGAGGGCTCCACACCTGGACACAGTACTCCAGGTGGGGCCTCACAAGAGCCGAGTAGAGAGGGACAATTACCTCCCTCTCCCTGCTGACCACCCCTCTCCTGATGGAGCCCAGGATCCCATTTGCCTTTCCCATTTGCCAGATGCCTCCTGCAAGAAAGAAAACACAGTAAGTTGATTTAAGTTTCTGCTTGCTTACACTTTTTTTTTTTTTTTTTGTATTCTTTAATGCTTTTCTTTAAAATTCATAGATGCAGCAGGGCAAAATTCACTTTGTGCAGCTATCTGGATGCTTCTGTCTAGTATTGCACACTGAGGATAGCGGGGGAAGCTGGACAGGAGCTGATGCAGTAATGTATCACTGACTACTGGATACTGTAGAACAGAACACATAAAAAAATCGAACAGAAAATTGCATAGAGGCCTCAAAGAAATTAAGTAAACTACTGTACATCCTTTTTCTGCATGCTATGCTGTTGTCTTAAGACTGAGTCACTCCCTGTTCCAGATAGGCCTATCACTTCTTATTACAATTAATTGCCTACTAAATGCAGCTGCTGTTTCTAGAACAGTAGGAAATTCAATTTTGGAATGAATTTTTAACAGATCGTATCAGGGACAAATTCAAATGACTACTTATCTTTCCCAGTAGTGAGGGAAGGTTTCTATCTTTAAAATAGGACTTGTTACTACCACCAGCATTGAGCCAGATTTCCTAAGTTGACTGTCCAGACATAAAGATTCCTTTTCTTATTTCCCAGATTTCTCCAATACTCCCAAGTTATTTCTTTCTTTCTTCAGCAATCCCCAAATGCCAAAAAATTGTTACCTTCTTGTAAAATCTTTGAAATCTCTTTGCAATCTTTTTTGCTTCAGTCCCAATGGTGCCCACTCTCTCTCCTCACATGATACCTTCAATCAGTGAGCAAATTCTCCAGTATGCTGTTTAGCATGATGCAAAACAAGCTGATTAGTAACAGCAGCAACAAGAGTAATCAAAAAAGAAACAAGAAAGGACTTCAAAAAATCTTCTTCAACACAGTTTTTCTTCAACACTTATCTTTTTTTTCTTTTTAAACAGAAAATCAAAATTTTTAACTGAAATGTTTGCCTATAGGCCTTAGGTGAGTCCAAAATTCAACTTCCATACACAAAATACTAGAAAAGAATAGCAGTTACTGCATCTTCTACATTCTAACAGCTAGCAGATATGTGATGCCATCAATAATGTATAAATATATATGGTTTGTATTTCTGTAGCCTTTTTTGAAGACCGTGGCTTATTGCAGAAATGATATTAAGCAATCAATCTTTATTTACAAAGCTGCTTTCATATGTACCATAGATTATAGAACAAAACCACACCAGAATATCAGTGATAAAACAGAACTAACAATATTACAAAAATGTTTCCAAAAGAACACAGCCCATATAAATTATGAAAACTGTACCTGATCAAACAGAGAGAGCTTTTATTTAAATGCACAAGCAGGTAAGGCTTACCTAAAGTCATTAGAAAGAACAGTCAAAAAAAGGCAGTCTCCAAAACAAAATATAAGAGTAGACAATGAGACAATGAGAAAAAAAAGAAAAAAAAAAAAAAAAGGCCATTAGAAATTGTAAAATCTTACTTTGAACCTTGCAGTAAATATGCATGACTGACAGCACAGAGGGTCGTTGTTGGTGGTGCAGAGTCCGGTTGGAGACCTGTAACCAGCGGTGTTCCTCAGGGGTCTGTGCTGGGTCCGGTCTTGTTCAACATCTTCATCAATGACCTTGATGAGGGGATAATGGCCACCCTCAGCAAGTTTGCTGATGATACGAAGTTGGGAGGATTGGCTGACACGCCTGAAGGCCGTGCTGCCATTCAGCAAGACCTGGACAGGCTGGAGAGCTGGGCAGAAAAAAAACGGATGAGGTTTAACAAAAGCAAGTGTAGAGTCTTGCATCTGGGGAGGAATAATTGCATGCACCAGTACAGGTTGGGGGATGAGCTGCTAGAGGGGAGCCCTGCGGTAAGGGACCTGGGTGTCCTGGTGGATGACAGGTTGGCCATGAGCCAGCAGTGTGCCCTTGTGGCCAAAAAGGCCAATGGCTTACTGGGGTGCATTAAAAAGAGCGTGGCCAGCAGGTCGAGGGAGGTGATCCTCCCCCTCTACTCTGCCCTGGTAAGACCTCATCTGGAGTACTGTGTCCAGTTCTGGGCTCCCCAGTACAAAAAAGACAAGGATCTCTTGGAAAGAGTCCAGCGGAGGGCCAAGAAGATGGTGAAGGGCCTGGAGCATCTCTCCTATGAGGAAAGGCTGAGTGAACTGGGTCTGTTCAGCCTTGAGAAAAGGAGACTGAGAGGGGACCTGATCCAGGTCTATAAGTGTCTAAGGTGTGGGGGGCAGAATGGCGAGGCCAGACTGTTTTCAGTGGTGAGTGGAGACAGGACAAGGGGAAACAGACGGAAACTGCAGCATAGGAAGTTCTGCACAAATGTGCGCAAGAACTTCTTTACAGTGAGGTGACGGAGCACTGGAACAGGCTGCCCAGGGAGGTGGTGGAGTCTCCTTCTCTGGAGATGTTCGAGACCTGCCTGGATGCCCACCTGTGTGACCTACTGTAGGGAACCTGCTTTGGCAGGGGGGTTGGACTCGATGATCTCTGGAGGTCCCTTCCAACCCCTACAATTCTGTGATTCTGTGATTCTGTGATTCTTTTCCAAATAATACATCTGAAATTTGCCTTTGAAATTTTAAATTTGAAGTCTTAACTCACTGATGTCTGGATCCTTTGTGGCCACATATTTATTTCCACAGATGCGCTGGACCATGTGCTTGCTATCCTTTCTGACAGGAAATGTAAGAGGAGTAATAGAATGCAGTGAGACATGAGATATGCCCTACAGAAAACAAAGGCAAGCATGGGGAAATGAATTGTGGCTGGAGCAATGGGAAAATCTAATGTCCTACTGGCTGAAACCTTGATTCTTGCAATATTTTTCAACAAGAAGCATCTAAATTAAAATCATGGACAAAAGGAAATATATTTTCCAGCTGAGTGCTCTAGTCAGAAGTTTTTGACCCTTGGCCTTCCTCATCTCTTTTTGGTTCTGCCTGCTTACAAGCTTTTTGCTGGTTTGTAGGCAGTATCAAGTGCCAAACACAAGAAAACCTGAATAGCTTTTAGCCATCACTCCCTTGTTGGCTTTTGAATTGACCTCAAATCCCTGCAGGTAAAGTATTTCCCAAAACCAGATTTCCTGTTTTTATGCCAAATCTTTTAGATAGATTTGCACTAATAAATGGAATATGTCTGGGACACAGACTCAAGCACTGGATGTAACTGCCTATACTGTTTAACTTTTAGCTTGTTTCCCCGTACCTTTTGATCAAGCAGTGATCACTCAAATTATATCTGCAAGGTTCAGGGCTAAAATATTCCACATGTGTTTTTTAATAATCAAAACAAATGCCACTTGTTTTTGTTTGTTTGTTTGTTTGTTTGTTTGTTTGTTTTGTACTAAGAATAAAGATTAGCCAAAATAATGCATGCTGTGAAAAACAATCCAATCTCTCCTCAGGGTATTTTACTAAGACATAGCATTGTCGTAAATGGTTTAATAAAATTTGGCCTTGGCTTTCTTCCTCTGTGGATATACTCATATATTCAGATATACTGAATCTCACAGAAAAATCCCTGTCCACACTGGGGTGTGATTTTACACATACCTCTCTTTCTGGGGCTTCCTGCTGGAAATTGCCGTCCAAGTGGCAATTAAATAATTTCTGCCATTTACCATGCAGGACATTTGGAGACTTTTGCCTTCATTTTGAACCCTTCACCCTAAGGATGTTGAGATGTTTGAAATGCCAACGTCCCTTTTTTAACTCTCAACCAATGTACACTGCTATTTAAGCCTGAGTACTTGAAGCTTTGCTTAATTTCTCATCTGCTGTCATTCCTTCTCTTCTAGGTTAATTCCTTCCGCTTCTCATTTCACATACTAGTAGAAGCAGAATATCATCAGGCATACATCACTAAGAATTTGTTCTATCTCTTCACTTTGGTTGGTTGCTGTTAACAAAATTCTCTAAGGGTAATTTGCCAAATGTCCTTTTATATCACCTTTATGCTCTCACACTCTGGAAATTAACTGTAAGAGTGTAATTAATAAATTCAGACATCCTCTCTCCCCCCCCCCCCTCTCAACAGATTGTGCGACTGCTTGTTTGGCTTGGGGTAATATATACAAGGTACCCCAAGAAACACTTACATAACAGTAAAAGAAGGACATATTCTAAAATCATGTGTTTAGGATGACAAAATGTGAAGCTGCCTTGGCCTACTTACCGAGGTGTGTGTTTCTACATGTGGGGGCTGAAAAATGATGGGAGCAGGAGGTTACATATGGCAACCTTACCCCTATCCTGAGGTGTCTACCCACTAAGATCAGCCTGAGTTGCCACTTTGGAAACAGAGCCTCCCTAGTTAAGATTGAGCTTCCTGCTGTACTTTGAGAGACACGAATTGGTACTTGGTTGTATTAAATCATACCTTCTTTTCTTGCACCAAGTCTTCTTGCTCTACACATCACCTTGCAATGGAGACCTGATATTTTCATCTCTTCCCTGTCCTCTTCATAGTTGCTTCAATGCTGATTTTGTCTATCAAAAATAAATGTTTCCTTCAAAATCCCTCAGTACTCTACCTACATCACTGATGGCTCCCATTTGCAACTATAGTTGCAAAAACTGCAGTCTACCCATTTTTAACCTGTTAAGTCTGTTCCTGTAACAGCAATATGTGGAACTTTTCACTGATCTCAAAATACTTCATAAAGTCATGTTTTTTGAAGACACAAGTCCAAGGTCACCTAGAATGCCAGCAGCAGAACTGGGGAAAAAATACAGTAGCTCTAGGACTTCCTTAGGAAGGAAAGAAATTAAGAAATGCTAAAAGGTCTTTAACCTCGACCTGAAAAATCACTCAGAGATGTGTAAATAAAAGCTGCGGTTTAATAATGCCAGGGAAAGATAAAGGTTCTAATTGTAAATGATGCTTCTTTCAGAATCGCAGAACTCTAAGGCCTAATATTATGCAGCCATTGAAAATATTTCACATTTATGAGCTAGACTGAGACTACTTGCTGTTCAGAATAACATTTATTTTTCAGCTAAAATATTTTTCAGCTGCATAGGTAAAAATCTATGTGTGAACTTTACCTTTTCATACTTTGATGATACATAAAGGACATTAGAGATACTTTATGTCTTTGCTTAGATGCAGTCCAGAACGGCAATAGGTCCCTTAAGCATATAATATTAATGCAAATTGTACAGTCCTTTCTGGAAATGTGTTCTGTGGACTATAGCCAGATAACTGAATAGTTGTATTAGCTCAAATAGAGCTCCTGTCAAAGGGCTTAGGACACAAATGCTCACTTTCTTCCTCATACTAATTACCTCCCCCAGCTATGAATGTGTTGTTTTTTCCTCACTGTGCTGTAAATCATCTGAATCTGTGTTTCTGAGTTGAGAAAATGGGTTGGGACTGGGGGGGTGAAGAAGCACATGGATAAGAAAAAAGGTTTCTGGGTCATCTGTTGTTAAAAGAGAAGACAGATAAATTGAGGTTTTGCAGGATAATTTTAAGCCCCATCTCTAAGCTGGGCTTGATGTTCCATATCCATAAAAAAAATAGGCAGTTTCTGTTGCATATGGTTAAGTTATGTAATTTATTTTGGTCATTACACTGTTGCAGAATTGCAAGGAGACTCACAGTCAGCATATCACAGAAATTACATCAGCCCCTGCTGTCCTCTACACAGTGAAGTCACTACTCCATTTTGTCACATTGTTATAGAATGCCTGAAATGTGACCAGCACTTGGACTTGAGGAGCTCTCGAAAGAGTGAAAAAATACAGATTTCATAATTCTAGTGGTGATGGACATTATTGAACCCTCTTATTACTCAAGTAGTAATGTGTGCTCATGGTCTCCCGTGAAGCACAATAAATCTAGGAACACAAAAATGCACGAATACTAAGATATTCGAATCCATCCCTGATTTTCTTTTCAGATAAAAGATGTATTTACCCTAGATTTTGTTGTCTGTTGGATTTCATTATCACTTCAAAATGATTTCAGCACTCCCTTTCTCCATTTGTCATTTCTGGAGCACTGGGAGAAAAAGAGGGAGCCATGGTACAGCCTCTCTCACTTTCCTATACCATCTTCTGTGTATCCTAGAGACATCTAGGTACCACTACAGACACACAGAACTTCAAAATATCTCAGAGATGCTCTCTATGCTACCAGTATATTATAGTCCTGTCCATTGCTTGGATATTTCATCCAACGGTGCAGCCAAAATAACACGAGTTAGAAACAGCAGCTCCAAATATTTCAACAAAGATGTTCACCTGTTTTAAAGGTAATGGTTGTCAACCTCTGAAGACTTCAAATCCACTTTGAGATACCAGAATCACAAAGGGACTTGTTAGAAAGGGAGGTGGGCTTTGTACCAGCTAGCTATCAAAATATATTAGTGTATGGGTTGCTTTCCACAATGAAGAGGGGAAATATTTCTGCACTGATTTTATTATCCTGCAAATCAAGTGGTAACATTTGCATCAGAAAACCTACCAAAAATTAGCATTTCTGAAATGGGAACCTTCTGAGTGATATTGAATGATCACAGGGGAACTGGACTAGATGGCCTTCAGAGGTCCCTTCCAACTCTAAGGATTCTATGATTCTATGATATTCGTGTTAGTTACGTGCAAGTACATAGGTATAAATAAGGTATGTTCATATGCATATGTGACAGTACACAGAAAATGCATAACAGAGTTAAAAACTGCCAAGCAAATTCCATTCATTAAGCTAGAAGTGACCAAATGCATGCTACGCTTTTGAGTGCCAAGTAAGATTAATTACAATACTCAGCTGGTCTCCAACAAATGAATGATCTTAACTGTTTTTCAGCCACCAGATGGAGTGAAGAAGAATAGTCTGTGCATGCATCTAGGGATGAAAAAGATCTCTAAAAAATCAAATTAATGTTTTATTGTTTCTGACAAGAACATTTTGTACCTCCCAAACCATGTACATTTGCAAAGCCAACTTTCATCTAAAACACTCAAAGTGGCTCAGAAACCACTGTTTGTTTGCCCAGCACTCTCCTATAGTATGAGTGCATTATATCAATTTTCCAAAAGGACACAGTGCACCACACATTTTAACTGGTTGAATTCTGGGTCACGCTACCTTGAATTTGACTGGTGGTATCTAAGAGTCTCTGAGCTTTTGTTTAATGCCACAAATAGCCTTGATGATTTCCACTGATGTAAGAAAGTGCAGCATGGTGTGAGTAAAGCACTCACAGCTACACATGGAATCCAAGTCTACAGCAGGATGATTTGCAGACATGGCCACCAGTGATTTCAGCTTTGACCCCCATGAATCCTCCAAACTGTTTTCAGTTCAGGGGGAGCTTACAGTCCTACCTATTCTATTAATAAAAAAAGTAGCAGGACCTAACACAGTTCATAGCAGGCTGCTTTGACATTGGTGTTCTTAACTTCTAGAAGAAGCACAGATCTATTTACACAGTCCCAGCTAGCAGCACTGCTGTAGTGCCTTTTATGCCTGGCTGGCACTGGTGAGCCAGATCGTGAGCCCTAACCCCAGCTGGGCCCCAACTCTTTCCATGCAGGCAATGGCACCACGAATGAGCTGAAGTGCAAATTAAGTTACTGCAGACAGACCCTTTTGCTGGTATAATTAGGGTGATCGGAGGGGAACAACACATTAGAAGTTGCAACTGCTGCTCCAGCATCATCCAACTGAGAGTTTGACATATCCATAAAAACAGCTTGGATGGTGACATTTGAAGAGTAATAAGAAATCCTGAGGACCTCTTCACATCAAGCTGTGTACATATGTGTAAATGTGTGTATATGTTTTAATGTGCATTTAAAAAATTCTACTTGTTATTTTGTGATGTTTCTAGATCCTTTCCCCTCCCTCCAAGTACCAGCAGGAGCTTGTTATGTAAGAGAAATAAAAAATCTGCTTTTCACTGCTGGAGACTAGATATATACAACTTTCTTCTATTTATGTCCTTAACATTAGATAAGGATATGTGTGGAATTACACATCCTACAGACATGGAGGACTTGATCCACCAAATGTTTTACTGTGACTGAGAGCTACAATTCTATAATTGCAACTGGATTGATTGAGGGAATAACTGAATAACTTCTCTAATATAGGTAGAGTCAGAGATTATCTGTTCTGAATGTATGTATTTGTCTGTTTATTGCAAAATTATAAAACCTGTGATGTTGATGTTCCATGGGAAGATGTGGGGTCTAAGTCTGTAGTGTTTCAAATACAAATTAAAGGTAATTGTTAGACTTCAGACTCAACATAAAGTAACAGAAAATCTAAAAGACCTGCCAAAATGATTACATGACATACAACATTAATATCCAGATGAATTGTTTCATCTTTCCCAGCTTTCTTTGCCTTGGGTATGTATGGAGGTACATACATTTACAAAACACAGGCTATTTGAAACTCAAAGCAACCCAAAATGAATGTTTCTAAGGATTATTCTTTTATCTTCATTTCTTAATTGAACTAGTGCTTACGGTGACAACCTTCAGCAATTTTTCAAGATGAGGGCAGTCTTTTACAACCATGAACTATGAGCATCTTAATATCTGAAGTTTTCCTTTTGCTTCTCCTTGTTAATGCCACAAAACGGTTTACACTAAACCAGACAGTAATTTGTTTCCTTGTGCCATCTGGTGGATATTGTTTGTAAATGCACAGTCATATCTAGAGAAATTCATCCACTCTGTGCAATACCAGGTTTTTTTTGCAAGGCAGTAATGCATCCAGAAGAACTCCAGCTGATGTAAACATTCCTGTATGCCTTATTTCTATAACTCGCTCCATTTTTATTTCCTGCAAGAATGGAGGAGGTCAAAATTGAACTATTCATATTGAAAAAGCAAAGCGAAAAATTATACTGTAATTCCGATTTCATATTCTGAGAGCTGTTACATATGCTTCAGAGGCTTTTTTTTTTTTTTCCATAATATTACTCCAGTGGAACAACCTTATAATAAATCAAAAATAGCTGATGATTTTAGAAAAACTTTACAAAAGGCACCGGTGTCATAATGTTGTTCCCACAGTTAAAGGAAAACTCAATTGTTTTTCATCAGTTCTTTGAGTAACTTCCATGCAGAAAAAAAAGTCAGACAGCTTCTAAAGTGATATGTTAAAATGAACACTTTTTATGAATTATTTTTAGAGTATTTCATCTAAATATTTCACTAAAATCACTAATACAGAAATAGTTACTCTTCCGGCTAGGGCTATTTTTTCTCATTTTTTACCATTAATCATTAATCATTATTTGTGAGTAATGCATTCCACTTAAAGTAATCGCATATTTGTTCATTTCTAGTGCTCCCCACAAAACTACTATTCCACTGTTTCTATTGATGAAGCTATTTATTATGGTTGTAAATCTTGTTTTCTAATACCAGAAGAGAAATGGTCAAAGTTACTCACACTACAGAAAAAAATCCCTCAGTATTTTATTTTTTTTCCTCGGAAATTTCTTGTTGTTGTCACGTGGGTGACAGTTCCAAGCAATGCTGATACATAAGCCCAAAATCATATTATAAGGAAAAGTTGATGCAAAATCAGCTTACATTGTGATTTTAAAATGAAATTAAAAGAGGGACAAGAAACCCTGAAATACATTTTTCACTGAATTTACTTATTTTCTAATAAAGACTTTGATGCTCAACTAGGTGCTAAATGAAAACATCTCTGTTCAGAAGCCCATTGTGAATCGAATCCCAGGTGCTTCCTACCCATCATGGCTCTATTCTGAAAAAAAGTTACATTTAGTTAGGATTTAACTTTGCCTTCCAAAGCTTTGATAAGCGTTATGCTGAACGTCTCTCATGTCTGTGCATTCGTGTCTGCTTAACAATTAACCAAGAATTACTTTCCCAACTGTGTCTAATTTAACTTTTGTGCTTAATTTTCAGGATTAAATTAAAAACAGATGGCCCCTGAGTGCTAAAATGATCATAAATTAGTCTTATATATTGAAATTAACATGGCAAAATATTAAAATGAATCTGAAGTGCATTTTTTTTTTGCTGTGCCTTGGTTTTTTATGAGTTAACATGATGGTGTGTATAATTGAGCAATCTTGCTGTACAGATATAGAGCCCTAAAACTCCATCTGTCTTGAGAGTCTCTTCCTACAACATGGTGTACTTTTCCACAGAATTATATAGAGGATTTTCATTTCATAATTGTGTTCTTCATTAAGTAAGTCATGGTAAGCACTGAGATGTAGGGACTGCTTCAAGCTCACAAAGCAATTTAGGGGCATAGGCTCTGTGAATTCCATGGGCTGAAGGTACTCATTCTGTTTCTGAGCACTATATGCTAACACATTCTCATCTCCCTCAGCTCCACATGCAGTCAGCAGAGCACTACTTACCTCTTTTTGCAAGAGCAATCAGATCCTCATGATTAAATTTAAGGAAAGGCTGTTTAAGTTCTCATCCTTTATCCTAGAAAGTCTTTGTGGGGAAAAGTTCCCTCTAGGACTTTCTTCCTCAGATTTTCACCTGAGGTAAAGAGATCTCCTTTTTCTACATGAGCCTCTTATGGGCAGGTTTGTGACTTGCACTGGCAAGAGCAAGAGTTATTTTAATGAACTATATAAAATATGGAGGCATTGCCACAGCATAGACAAGACTCCTCCTGCTGGTTTAAACACCATGCCAAAGGCATGACCAATCCTAAGTGAGACACGTTAATTATAGTAATTCATGCAGTGAGTAGATAAAAGGGCTTAAACGATTAGGCCATCAGTTTGAATCTTGAATGATCACTCTGTAACAGGTAGGCAGCCTGGTGATGTTTCTTTTCTGCTTATTTATGTGAAGTAATGCCAATCCTTCAAATGTTTCTTCAACTTCCATTTATCTCCTTCATCTTCTCTATCGTCCTTCTCTTCCCCTGATACAGCACTGTAGTTTAAACCAACAGGCTGCTGAACACCACACAGTGAGATGGGGAGAAAATTGAAAAATGCAGAAATTTCTGGATTGAGATAAGGACAGAATAACAAGAAAGTAAGAAAAGATGGATAGAAAAAAATAATAATAAATTTCATTTAAAATACAGCAACAAGTAACAAAGCAAGTAATGCACGACACAATTGCTCACCACCTGCTGGCCAGTGCCCTACCAGTTTCTGAGTAATGGTGAACTCCCAGCCAACTTCTTTGGTTTTACAGTACCACATGACACTGTATGGCACAAGATACTCCTTTGTCCTGTTTAGGTCAGTTGCCCTGGTTCCATCCCCTTCCAGCTCCTTGTATTCCCAAAACTCCTCACTGGCAGAGCGGGACAAGAAGCTAAAATGTCTTCATCTCTGTGTAACACTTCTCACCAACAACTAAAATAGTGTGTTACTGACCTTATTCTCACCTTAAATCCAAAACACATTGCTATTAACTCTATCTCAGCTGAAACTGGGACATATAATAACCAACAAACCATTCTTCAAGAAATCTGTGCCTGTAAGCACAAAGCAAATTATGTAGCAAAATGAAAACAACACATTTGGAGTTGATTTGTTGGTCTCTTCAAGACTCCCAAGACTTTGGGGATAACAAAATAATGTTAGGCCCCTGGGATCATGGTAGAATTAACATGGCCTCAAGTTCTAATGGTTCATCTGCCTGACCCACACAGCAAAGATGCTTTCCTAGTCAAAAATTATTCTTATTGCAGGTGTGAAAACCAAACAGCACTGCTGAGCATTACACTGACACCTCATCTGTACAGTAAAAGTATGTCACAGCAAACATAATAAAGAGCCATCAGTGGATATTTGTCCTTGGTTATCCTAGACCTTTATTATCAGTCCAAATGTACCTCCAAAAGGTCCCATGTGCCACCCTGACCTGCTGTGTTTCTGCATGATTTCCTTCACCTGTTCCTTCATCACAGCTGCAGTGAAGTGATTTGCCTGGGTTCTGCTTTGTCAGGTGGGAATCTCTTCCTTTCCTCTCTTTGCACAGTAAAATGCCAGAGAAAGTAATGCAGGGCACACTTGCTGTTCGTGTAGGGTCATTGGAGATTAAGAGAGGGAAGAGGTTCAGGAGGGCAACACCCCAAGAATGAAGTAGGCTGCAGCTTCACCCTGATGTTCTAGAGGGCAAAGCCTTGTCACGAAATCAATAGTCTCTAGCGTGAGGGGATGTTTACAGCAAGCAGAAGCACATGAATAAGAGAAAGCAAAAAAAATAATAATAATTGCATGTTGTTGTGGAAATACTGAGTATATGCAATTTGTTTTCTGTTTTCTGCCACAGCACAGCCTCCATCATTCATAGCAGTCTTGTTCTGTTGCACCAATTTTTTCATTTGCCTTTTCTAAGAGTATAGACCTAGGAATTATGGTACTTCAGTGGCATTTGAAAAACCTTTTTAGTTGGCACATGTCAGAACACAGAAGCCCCACAGGTACCTAAGACATAGTGTTATTTAATCTGCCTATAACACCTTTGTTTCTATTTTCTTTTGTGTTTGGCTTTATATAATTTTAACCTAGTACTAGTAAGAGCCTAGTACTAATGTAAATGTATGTGTTATCTTGAATGTTATGCAATTTTCCTTGATAATGATTATTCAGTTCTGCTAAGGTATTGCTACCAATGTGAATTGGCAAAAACCAAGCTCTATTTCCCATGATATCACTGACAAAGAACAGTCTCCAAAGGAAAAACGACAATAGGCATCTTGTGATAAACCTGTGTTTTTATCCTAAGCAATATTTTCTGCATCATCTTACTTCAAGCAAACTATTCAGAAACTATGTTCATTACAGAAGTCATTCTAGACGTCTAGAAACACAGTCTGTAAATCCAACCATCTAGCCAAAGCAGGATTGTGCAAGCCACTTTACATGGGCAGGCAGAGACTAGGTGAGGTGAATCAACTGAGCCCTGTGGTACTGGGTAGCAGAAGTATCCAAGTCTTGGGAGAGTTCCCTTACCAGAAAAAGAGGCTGTATGAAGAGGTCTGCAATTACGTGTATTTCTCTGTAAGCTGGCCGTGGGTGGGTTGAGTGCTGTACTTTTAGCTGGACCCTGTGTACTGTGCACACAGCCTCCCTTCACATGATGCTGGTCAAAGAGGAACCAAGACAGAAGGACACAGATTCTGGCAAACTCCTCTGCTCTAAGTGACCTTTCTTAACTGCCCTTCACAAAGTAAAAACTTGATTTTCCATGTTCCTCAGTTTATTTGGAAAGGTAAATGGCCTAAAGGAAGCAGCTCCCAGACCTCTCCAAAACAGGTACTTCCAAGAGAAAGGAATCAGTCTATAGGTCTTCTGTATGACTGGAGAACTATGATGCTGGCTTCCAGCATTCTTTTTGGCAGCTAAACAACCTCACCACAACAGAAGCAGCTACACTCCCTCCCCACCCTCCCTGCTTAGCCTTGTCTGTAGCCTTTCTCAGCTTCCTGCAAAAGAAAAGCAACCGATCTGAGCTCCACTCGTGAGACATGGTCCCAGAACTCAGTCCCTGCAGGTATGAGAAGACAAACCCAACTTAAACAGCAGGTGACATGTATCCTGATCAGTTCTCTCGTAAACAAAGTGCACAGCTTAAGATGAGGTTGGGTTTAGGTCTGCAGCTGTAGTCTTGGCTTGGGTTCTAGCTCTCTAGAAAGACAGAGAATTTCAAATATAGCCCTATGCTTGGTGTTTAGCTTTGTCTTTGCCTTTGTTATAACAGTGTGCAGTTTTAGCTTCACAGCCTAAAGGGCATGTCTTGTGAGATCATCCGTGCATCTTATGTAAAGCACGTACATTCAAGTATAGCTACATATGTATACAAATTATATTAATACCCACATGTCAGAATTCAGTTATCACCCTCTCAACTCATCAAAAACAAAACAAAACATTACATGGAATAGACTCTTCTCCCATCATTCAGGGCATTTTCTAACTTTAGTTTCTAAATATAATAACAAAAGATGGTGGGTAAATTTTATCCCCACAAGTTTTCTGAAAACAGGGTGTTGGTATATTTGACAAGCTAAAGAAAAACCTACTGAACTGAATTTTTGTAGAGAGCTGTCAACAGTGCACTGATGGAAATCTCACACCATAAAAAACAAATCTGTTATTAGACCTTTCATCTTTTTGGATGCAAAGAGCTCACCTAGAAAGCAAGAAGATACTGAACATAGGTGGAACTATTTTGTCTAATTGCAGAGCATCTCACTCAAAGTTGCTCTGCAGAGGTGCACGGCAATCCCTGCTCACCATCCAGAAAGATCTTTGCCCTGTTCGGGTCACGAACACTGCAGCACAGGGATTAAAATGTTAGTTACTAGTATCTTGCACTAGATAATTTACTGGCAAAGCATTACTGATGATTTCAAATGCGAGGACATAATTATATTCCCTCTGCCAAAAGAAGAATTATTCTTTTATCTGTATTGTCTTTATCTGCAACAAAAATGACATGGAATATTTCAAATATTTGAAAGTCTGAATCAAGGGCAGTCTAAAGGAAAATTCTATTTATCAATATTTTACACCTGAAATGTCTGAACAGTAGGTGACTCTTAATTCATGAATTCTCATAAATGTTAGATTATTCTAAATGCATTCATCACGCAATACATTTATTGTTTGTGCTCAGCTTAAAGGTGAAGTACTTCTCAAGATCCTCTTCATTTGTCGAAGTTAGAAATTGATTTTGTTCTGAATTCTCTGATTCACAAATCCTTCCTTCTCTCATAGTTCTTATAAAAAAAAAAAGAAAGAAACTTAGTTGAGCCTCCTTAATTTACATAAAACTGTGAGGACTGAATTAATAATGAAGGAATAAGGATTTTTACAAATGCATCCTTTGATGAATAATCTGAAAAAAGTGAGTATCTAACATTGTTGAAGTGTACAAATATGCAGAAAATAAGAGTTCTTTTTCATTATCATCTTTCCTGATAAAACTCTGTGATTAATTAGCACATTTATTATTTTCTATAATTTTCTAGAAAAGCCACCTAATATATATTTTTCTTCCTATCATAGGAATAGATATTTCAGTGAGCATTGCTAAAAGTCAGGGATAGAATTGCAGTTTTTGTACAAATTATACAGAAGATCCTTTACCTGCTGTTTTGAATCAAATGTTTTTGACTGTAGGCTTAAGTACTTTTCTATCTATCTGAAAATAAAACGTATTTTAGTGCAGAAGAAAATTCAGACCGTAACCCAAGCGGCAGATGTCTGTCTACATTTGTTGAAAATCTTGAATGTTTCCTTTGACCTCTGGTCATGAGAAAAGTTATGAAGGAGTGTCTATCAGAGCGGTTGCAACTTCCATGACAGTCTGTGGAAAGAAAAAGGCATGGCTGAAACGTAATCACAGGTTCAGTGAATCACTTTACAGCACTGCTTCTTTCTATTGATTCTAAGGGCAGACTAGTGTGAATGTGATAGACTTTGGTTTTAGACCCTTTCCCAGCTCTTGCCAACCTGAAATCATGTTGTCCGACTATTGTCACCTCTTTTCATATATACGTGCACCTACCAACTTGCCTCCTTGTTTGGTCTAGTAGAACACTGTAGGCACCTGGAAACAAGAAATTCAACTAACTTTCTTCCATCACATTTTCCAGTCCTCTGCTCCCTTTCTATCCTCTCACTTTTAGTTGCTTATAGTTTGCTCCCTCCCTCTTCCTATTTAACCATCCAGCCTCTTATCTATCTTCCCTCAACTGTTGTCACTTTTTCTATCTATGCAGAACTGGCTGGTGTGGAGAACTGCATACGACCATAGAAAAGCCCCTTCATGGACAGATCATTAGCCCACATAATTCAATATTCTGTTACCAGTAGCATCCATAACCTACACTGCTCTAGGAGAGCACAAGAGCCCAGCCTTTTTCTGCCCATGCTTTTCTTCCTCTTCATATCCCAGAGTGTTCAAAACCACTGAATTGAGAGTGTTACAGCATGTCACATAGGCTAGACATTTTATTACCCATACAGAGGCCATTTGTTTAATCTCTTTTTACTTCCATGTTCTCCAGATAAGACACATTAAATTCCATCTGTGCACAAACAAATCTTCTTTAGTGTGAGAGTGGTCTATCACTGAAAAATGCTGACAACAGAGGTTGTGAAGTCTCCATTCTTTTAGACAGTCAAACCTTACCAGACATAGTCATGGACATTCTGCTTTATATGACCCTGCTTGAGCAGAAGATTAACTAGATGACCTACAAGAAGCACTTTAAAGTGCTAAAGAGAAGAGTGTTAATGAACTTAAATTAATGCCATTGTAGGATGCCTGAGATCTCTGCGGTTTTGAGAAATGTTTGTGCTAGAGAAACGAGTACTACTGTGTTACTGAGGGAGGCTGAGACTTCAATGAGAAGAGGAAGTTTCTGTCTGCAACATGAATGTGGCATGAATGTGAGGAAACTGTGTGGTGCAGGGATATGGGAAGGGGGATATTGCACTGCAAGGCTCTCAGTTGTTAATCATGGAAAAGCACTGTTCCATAAGTGCTCCGTAGTAACAGGAGTAGAGAGTCTGGCAACAAGCTGTTCTGGAAGAGTTCTGAAAGTCTTTTGGTGCCACCAGTAGAGAAAATGTTCCAATACCACTGGGAAAGTGTAGGTGAGCAAGGATCTGCCCCGTGAACTGAAACTGTGTATTTAGGTTGAATTGTATAATGAAGTTTCTGAATGATTGAAAGGAAAGGGAAAAAGTATGTCCTTCTAAAAATACATATGCTCCAGATGGAGAGAAGGATGGGACAGGAGATGCAGCTGCCTGAGCATCTGCTGCTGCGCCTGGGGCTCTCTCCGAGATCCTGCTTTCATTGCTTTCTCCTCTTTGAAAATCCCTTGAAGAGGAGCCTGCAGGATTTTGCCATCCCAGAAAGAAGACACAGGTCTGTGAAGAGGAATTGCCTGAAATGAATAGATAGATCAGCAGCTGCACTCATGAGGTTTAGTCATGGGCTGTCTGGGTCATGGGACTGGACTCTGTAAAGTGAACAGCACAGCCACCTCATCTATCTTCATTGGGGTCTTTGTCCACTGAGTGGTGGGACAAGGATCCCAGAAGTGGAAACAGAACTCCTGTACTGCTTCTTCCTTCCAGATATGGACTAATATACAAAAGGACTGTGACTGACAGAATTGTTCCTCCTGCCTTCTTTTCTTTACCACACTGCAGTATTTTTGGAGGTAGAGGACAGATATGTTATTGTTTCTGAGTACTGTCTCACTGAGTACAACTGAATTGGACAAGGACTGTGTGAGTTGATTTATAAATGAAGATGAGCAGAGTTTGAAATATTTAATCTGACAAAGTACACACAAATACCATCAAAATACTCAAGAGTGAATGAATAATGCAACCTGCTTAATATCTTAATGGTATATTGGATGTGGGCTCTCTAAGACTCCCAAAAAACCATCCTTTGGGGTCACTGATGGAAAAAAGAGATCAAGAAAGTGGAAGCGATCTTGTATACAAGAAAGCTTCTCTAACTTCTGAGCAAGGATTTTAACTCTTACACATAAATAGTACAATACTTGCAGCTTTCACCTAAATGAGTGAGAAAACTTGCTAGACTGCTTTCTAGTGTTAAATGGGCTGCACACAATAGGTGTAAGAAGCAATTCAGTGGAGCACTTGTGGACTACACAGAAGCTTGCTTTCAATGTCATATTCCCTAATAAAAATGCAAATGTAAAGCTAATTCAGTTCCATGAGCACTCAATAAACCTCAGTAGGAGCAAAACAAAACGTTGGACTGTTCTTTAGTATAATATAGTCACATCTGACTCTTTCACTAATGTTCTTTTAGGAGTCACTTGCTTCTATCATTTGAAAGGTTCACAATTCATATGCCAAATGGTTCCATACTTTTCCAAGTCTATTTTCAAACCAAATGAATAACTTAGTGATCTCTGGGAGCTGTTGTCATTACAATACATGGCTTCAGTCAGAACATTTTCTACGTGAGGTACAATTAAATAAGTAGCAAAGTCAGAAACCCCTTCAGAGAGTATAGTTCATCTCACCTAACTTTAGCCACCTAAGTTACTGATCAAAGCTCTCTGTGTAGTTGATGGAGTTCTCTTGAATACTTCCTGAAGGTGATTCATCTCATCTTGAATTGAGCAACAAAAAGAGGTGAGAATAGTCCTTTGGAGGTACTTGTCTCTCTCCATCAGCTTGAGAGCTGACGTAAGAGTCTTAGGGTATATCTTGGATAATTAGCTTTAAGATCTCTGGTAACTTTTAGCTGTCTATCTGATCAATGAGTTATCATGATTTGTATGCACAACAAATTTAGAGAGCCTATTTCTCTACCCTGACTTCCTAACAATGCCCTAATTTATGGGCAGACATAAATATATGTTTACAAATATTTAACTTTTCAATTTTAAATTTAGACATATATTTAAAAAAATATATCAGAAAGTATTTCTTTATACATCCTTCTATTGTTTGCTTTCAATTTTTGTGGCCAAATAACGTCATCCTTCAATAGGTTTTAATTATATTGGCTGCTAGTTAAACTTCCAATATCCCAAACATAAGATCTTTCTGCTCTTACTGTTTAGAAACTTACGGGAAGAGAGGAAAGCATTCCCAGAATTCTTGCTTCCTGGAGAGGACTTAAATATTTTAGCTGACTTAAAAGTCTTGCCACTAGGCTGAGCATCAGGGCTAGACAGAGCAAATGGGAGCAGGCTGCCCAGGGAGGTTGTTGAGTCACCATCCCTGGACTTGGTCATTTAGAAACAATTAGAAGTTATACTAAGGGAAATGGTCTAGTGGGGAAATATTGGTGGTAGGTAGACAGTTGGACGAGATGACCTTGGAGTTCTTTTCCAACCTTTGTGATTCTATGATTCTATGAACTGAAGTATTTGATTACCGCAGCTGGCAATTGAGGGTGATTTATCTTTAAATCTTTAGTCTTAAAAATTAGTACAGTTAGTGTGCATGCAGAAAAAAATCCTGGTGATAAAAGAAAAGACATAGTCAACAACTGAACAAATTTGGGCTTGCTATCTCGTCACAAACTGAAAGAAGCAAATGCAACAGTAGATGCTTACCGTGTACAAATATTTTTAATTACACCAAACCATTTTCTTTACTGATTGCACCCCTTAAACTTCCTACTGATTTTGGCTACTAATGATGTGCATTTTCCTGCCTCCTAGCCTACTGTATTTCATCATTACTTTTTTTTTTTTTTTTGTATCAAAGGCTGTCATCAAGTAAAATGTAATCCCTCAGACCCAAAGAAGAAGGGAAAACATGGTCCTGTCCTGGGAGTTCACAGAGATGGAAACCTTTAATGTCTCTATATAAGTGCTGTGTTTGTATCTGTTGAAGAAAGAGGCAGCAAGTCTGGAAGGAGGCAACAAGTTTAGATGAGGCTAATCTGGACAAATGTCTCATAGGACATGGGAGACTTCATGCATGCAGGTCTATGGAGAGGAAAGTTATGAACAGAGAACACAACATTATGAAAAACATATTGTTGGAGTACTAGACAAAAATGGGAAAATTATCTGTGCCCAGTGTATGGAAGTTACTACACTTGAATGCCGCATTGCAGTGAAGGAACGCAGAGCAGAGATTTATGAGAGGATATTCATAGTTTAAAAAAGTAAAAAATCTTCTCTTGAAGAAAAGGACTTTGCATGCCTTTCCTACTTTACTGGACACTTCTTTGACATGTATTGTGTGCCTATCTAACAGTGACCAGGTAAGAATATCATACAGTAGTAGCCCTGAACTACAAGCAAAGCCAGAAGAAATAAATGAAAGTGATCATATTCAGTAACGGTAGCTAACAGCAATCTTTCTGCAGATGTGTCTTTCCCTTTAATTATTTCTTCACGTGTACTTGGAGTTCACCTGGAAAATACATGTTTGTAGTGGGGAATTCTGACAGGATATATTCATAGAATCATAGAATGGCCTGGGTTGAAAAGGACCACAATGATCATCTAGTTTCAACCCCCTGCTATGTGCAGGGTCGCCAACCAGCAGACCAGGCTGCCCAGAGCCACATCCAGCCTGGCCTTGAATGCCTCCAGGGATGTGACATCCAAACCCTCCCTGGGCAACCTGTTCCAGTGCATCACCACTCTCTGTGTGAAAAACACACTGATTTTACCATGGCCACCATGTTTTGTTTATGACTGACAGAAGTTGTATACACTGACCAGAATGATTTCCAAAATAGGTAACAAAAATTTTGCAAAATTAATAGAATTTACAATATAATATAATATAATGTAATGTAATGTAATGTAGTATAATATAATATATATATAATATATATAA